GAACTAAGGGAGCTGGGTATGGTGGATGTTTGTTTGTTTATGTGATTTTGATTTGGTAGGTTATTGTGTTTTTAGATGCGTTTTATTAGTTCCGTTTTTATTAAGAATACGCCTAAGCCCTTTAAGTTTTCTAGTTTATTTTGTGGGTTTAGTATTGCTTCTAGAGTTAGAGCCTTGTTTAGATTGAGGGTGGTTTGTAATGCGGTTCGATGTGTTAGGTAGTGTGTGCAGTGGATGAGTGCGTGTTCTGGGGTTTCTGGTTGTTTGCAGTGTGGGCAGTTACCTGTAGTGTGTTTTTTAAATTTTTTAGGTGGTTATTTAGGTTGGTGTGTCCTGTTTGGAGTTTAGTGATTACTCTGTCGATTTTTTTGGATGGATGGAGAATTTTTGGTTTGGTTAGTGGTTTGCTGAGCACCATTTTTATTTGGCTATTTGAATTTAGATATAGGTAATGCCATTTTTTGTGATTTTTTGCTTGTTTACACTTTTAATTTCTGATTTTGAGATGGGTAAGTTTAAGCTTATTTCTGGGATATTGAGGGATAGTTTAGCTGCTTTATCGGCGTCTTCATTACCGTATATTTCTACGTGGGCGGGTATCCACAAGAAGGTTATTTGTTTGCCTGCCTTAGTTAGGTCGTTGGAGCTTTTAAGTATTTGATTTATTAATTTAGGTCGGTTTTTGGTATTTTTGTTTTAGAGGGCTTGCAGTCCACTTAGGGAGTCGGTAAGTATTAGGATTTTTTCGTGTTTTTTGGATTCTTGATTATGGAGGGCTGAGGCCATGCCAATTAGTTCTGCCGTGAATATTGATTGGTTGTTTGGGAGTCGGAAGGATTGTGTGGTTTTAGTTGGTTGTGTGGTGTGGACTCCGAAACCTGTGTGTTTGGAGGTCGGATCTGAGGATCCGTCCGTGTAAATGTGACACCAATTTGGCCAATTTTCGTGTATGTATGCTAGTGTGGTAGTTTTAGCTGTGTTTGGGTCGGTTTGTTTATTTATTTGGCTAGCTAGTGTTGTGTCTATTTTGGGTATTTTAAGTTTAGGGGTGAAGATATTTGATTGTTTGCAGTTTTGTTTAAGATTTTTAATTTGGTGTTCATTTAGGTAGTTTGTTATTCTTTGGGATATCGGGGTAAGTAAGGGGTGTTTACGAGCTAGAGCTTGGTTTTTGGGGCTGATGTTTTGGTTTATTAAGTTTTGGATGAGAAGGTTTGATTGGGACGCGGCCCAGAAATTTAAGTTTAGCTGTTCCCTGCGTAGACTTAGTGGCATTTCTCCTGTTAAGGCCTGAAGTGAGGTGTAGGAGGTGCCATGTTGGGTGCGTGTAATTAGTTTGATAGCCTGATATTGTATTGAGTCCAGTTTTTTTTATAGAGAGTTGTTTAGGGTGTTGTATATGGCGCAGCCGTAGTCTAGTTTTGATCTAATTAGTGATATGTAGAGAGAGAGGAGGGTATCTTTGGATGCTCCCCAGTTAGAGCCAGTTAGGCATCTTAGGGTGTTTAGGTCTTTACTGCATGTAGTTGTTAGGTTTTGGATGTGAGCATCCCAGGTGAGATGTTCATCGAAAATAAGTCCTTAGAATTTGGTTTGTTTTTGAAATTTGATTGTTTGATTGTTTAGCTGGAGGATTGGGGAGGCGGGTTTCATGTTTTTATGTTTGAATACTATTCCTGTTGTTTTTTCTGAGTTAAGGGAGAAGCCCCATTTGTCAGCCCATTGTTGTATTTTATTAAGATATTTTTGGAGTAAATTTTGGACCATGTTCATGCTTTTAGTGCGGATCCCGATGGCTCCATCATCCGCGAATTTCGATGTGTTTAGTTTAGTGGATAGACCATCGAATAGATCGTTTATCATTATATTGAAGAGGGTGGGGCTGAGGATACTGCCCTGGGGAGTACCATTTTCCAGGGGACATTGGTCCGATAGTGTTTGGTCTATACCCACGGTTATTTTACGATTGTGTAGGAAGTCCTGGATGTAGTTTATTATCTGACCTTTGAGTCCTATTTTTTAAAGTTTTTGTATTAGCCCGTCGTGCCATACCATGTCGAAAGCTTAAGAGAAGTCTAAGAAGATGCCTGTGGTATATTGTTTATTAAGTTGTCCTCTCTTAATATCTTGCTCTAGTCGGGCGCGGTTATCTAGGGTTGAGCGGCCAGGAGTGAAACCGCTTTGATCTGGGTCACACTGCCTCCCAATGCACATACACTAAAACTAAATGTAAAAAAATGCGCACAAACAGACTGCCCAGGCACATGCACACCCTGGTGCATCCACTGCAAATCGATCCAACACACTTCACTTTCAAACCAATGCCCACACAGACACACACTCACCCAGCAGGCCAACAAACACATAAACATAGACACGGCCAAAATCCAAACACGAAAATTTGCTACACCCGCATCCAAACCACTCCTCCCTACACCACACCCAAACACCATCCCACAAACAAACACCACACCCATAACCGACAGCTCTGTCTGAGGCCCCTACCGAGAAACCGCACCCACCTCACACACACAAGCAGCCACTCAACCAACCACGAACCCTCCCACACCTCAACATAGCCAAAACATCAACCCCCGCATGCAAAACAAACCACAAAACAACCGCCACAACACGACCCTCATCCAAGCACCCTACAGCCCACATGGCAACAACACTCCCCCACAAGCAAGCACAACAACAAAACACAACACTAAGAAATCCACAGCTACACCAATCCCGCAAACACCTACACAACCCTCCACATCACATGCCTCCCCTATGGAATCTCAAACAGCTAAACCTAATCTAACCGATGACGAAGATTTCCTCCACTACTGAGGAAACAATAGACACTACTCCAACTAAAACAAACCAAACTTCCCTCTCAGCCCCAAAAAGGTAGAAAAAACTAAACCGCAAAACTCCCGAACCAGCTAACACCCAAAACCTAAATAACCTCACCTTACTCCTAGTATACATGCATAGTCAAAACTCACCAAAAGCTAGCATGAAATCCTTCCACAAAGTAGCTTTCAATCTAAAATTAACCCATCCTCCCTTCTTCCTCTTTAACCTCCATCTAAAAGAAGTCACCGAATAAAATAAAAACTAAAAGCTAAATCACCAATCACCCGAACCCAATAATGGAAGGACTAAATATTTTTCAGTGGAACGCCAACGGACTCACCTCCCACGGCCATGAACTAAAAACTAAATTTAAACTAAATAAAGGCCCTCACATTGCTTGTATCCAGGAAACCAAATTCGCAAAAAAATCCAAATTCACACTACCTAACTACAACTCAGATAGAACTGACAGAGCTAAACCAAAAACAAGAAGAGCCGCAGGAGGACTAATCATATTTATCAGGGAAGATATAAATTACGAAGAAATAAAAATAGACACGCCAAACCTAGAAGCCAACGGCATTAAAATCACATTATATAACCGAAAAATAAACATCATAAATATATACCCCTGGGCGGAACAAAAAGTCCAACCTGAGGATCTAAACAAACTACTCCAAATAAGCGATAAATCTACTATATTCCTAGGAGACTTTAACGCTCACCATCCTACATGGAGCATAGATGATAAAATAGATAATCATGGCAAATTAATTTCCGAATGGATAGAAACAAACGACCTAGTACTCTTAAATAACAAACAACCCACGAGGTACGATAAGATAAACCAAAAAATGTCGGCTATCGACCTAACCATATGCACCGCAGATCTAGCTCAAAGTACTCAATGGGAAGTGCACGACGTCCCGCTAGGTAGTGACCACTTCCCCATAAACATAACCATAGGAAATACAAACGTACCAATCCAAATAGAAAACCAAGAACCAAAATTCCATTACAATAAAGCTAACTGGGACCAATTCCAAGATATCTGCAACGAAGCTAACTTAAACGAAATAGAAAATAATGATCCAGAAACCTATTGTAGAAACCTAACAGACTATATAATAAACGCAGCCAAAACCTCCATCCCCTTCAAAACATCTAAGACAGGCTAGGCAAACCCACGGTACCATGGTGGAATGAGGAAATACAGACTAGACGAAAACGTAAATCAGCCTTCAATAAAGCAAAACGCGACTACAAACATCTAAACATAGCCCACGAACTAAACCACCAGGTTAAAAAAACTAGTCCAACTAGGCAAAAGTAGAGACTGGAAAAAATTCTGCGAAGGTATAAATAACCGTACAGATGCCAGAACGGTCTGGCGCAAAATCCACGCCATCAGAGGCTTAAAAGGACATAAAAAAAACCCCTAACATTAACAACTCAACCAACCCCGCCCCAAAAGCAAATAATCTCGCCAACCACTTTTCAGCCGTTAGCAGTAACACCAACTTCAGCCAAAAATTCCAAGATAAACTTAAAACAAAAAACAAACCCACAAAAGAAACAAACAATAACAATCTAGAAATAAACCAACCCTTCACAATGGAGGAGCTCCTCTACGTAATCCAAAACAGGAAAAAGGGCACAGCCCCAGGATTTGACCTAACTTCTTACCAAATAATTAAAAATCGCCCGCTAAAACTACTCCAGGCACTACTCAAACTATACAATCTCATCTACCTAAACGGACAGGTTCCTACTCCCAGGAAACAGGCCCTAGTCATACCAATCCCTAAACCTAATAAACCAGCTAATCAAGCTAACTCATATAGACCAATATCCCTAACTTCAAACTTATGCAAAGTAATGGAATCAATGGCTAAAAATAGATTACAACATTACCTAACCCAAAATAACATCAACTATTGAACTGCATGGCAAGTATTTATAAAACGACCGGGGGAGGAAATATTCTTGGGGGAGATTTTATTTCGTAGGGTGGGGGAGAGTTTATTTCGAGAGGGGCGGAACTGTACCGGTATAAATTCGCCGGGGGGAGATTTTATTCTGGGGGCGAATATATTTCGTGACACCGGCATAGACGACTTGGCCCTCCTTATAAAAGAATACCATTTACTCACCTCTCTCCCATGTAAGCAGAGACCAGCCTTTGGGTTTCATTGGTTTTGACGTTCACCAGCTGAAGACCGTTTTGCTTGCAAACAGCTTTTGCACGGTTGTGATGTACGTGGGTTTGGAAGTAGAAATATTCTCCTGAAACTAAGAAGAAATAGAGAATGTGACATATTGATTCCTTGAGTTTGTTTGTATTTCAACCCCGCATACAGTGATACCCCAGCGGTATGTAAATAATCGAGACTGGACCAGACAATCCTGTGATCGACATCATGAGCATCGATCCAACGCGAATGAGATACGATGACATGCATCAACTAAATCAGCGAGCCTGACCACCCGATCCCGTTTGTCGCCTCTTATGCTAAAAATAGTCGCCTTTTACGGCAAGCATGGGTTGCTGAAAACCTATTCTACCCCGATCTTCACAGGCCAGATTCCTTGTGTAAAGAAGATAACAGTGATAACTGCACAACAGGCCAGCAGGGCAAAGCGTGGCCAAGCTGTTACAATACGCATTTCGGATGTTTTACAAATCAAAGATCTTTTGACCTTTGACCCACATGGAACACGAATGTCACAACAACTTCATGAATCAAATGCCACTGGGAACGAGTTCTCTTTGTGTGTGTCTGAGTTAAGAAGTGCCAGAAAGTACTTTTTCTTCAGGGTTTTCAATCATAACCTAATTACTCACTGAAACACGCCTGCTGTGCATGCCTAGAACAAAAATGTTGTCCGGCTCCTTCCTTCAGAGACAAATACCGTAATACCGTGTATGTCAGTGCTGACCCGTTCCACAAACCGATCAAGTCTATGTTAAGGTACGGGAGATACGATCGTCTTGACGCTAAAGCCGCTTTGTGGAACCGGGCCATGGAATATCAAATGGTTGATTCCATGTACAAACATCGACCTTGATATTCAATCAACCAACTGAGGAATTATGATCAACTATAGATAATGCCATCTGGTATGTTATATATGTAGATCATAATGTTAGGAATGTTTAATGAACATTTGATGGTTGATGACGTTTGTCAGAGACCATACATAATAAGAAATGTAAATGGACTCTGATGCACATATAAATTATTTGGCCTTGTTATGTCTTATGACGAAACGCAAGATCTAATCAAAGGATACATCTCTAGTACACGAACACTTCTATCTAAACGTACTAATTAACCAATATTCCAGGCGTTTTACACGAATTACGTAGGACTAGTGGTGAGTTATCTCTCCATATTTTTTTATGTTTGTACAATGCTATACCAATTCAAATGCATTTTGTACAATGTACATCTTTATAAATACACGTCAGGTATTCTTGACATTAAGTCTCGTGCATATGGCAACCACTTAGTATTACCGAGATGGCATTGCATGGTATAATACTATGGAAGCCTCAAAGTGCATCATACAAAACATAGTTTGGTCCACTGTTCTGTTACCGTATAAGGAAATAGTGCCACATGCAAAGATATGGTCATCCCTTCGTGGGAGAAAAGAAAAGCAACCATATATATAGGAGATAGAAAGTAAGAATGTTGTTAATATGGTGATGACGCAGAAGGCAATAAGTAATGTACATTAAGAATACATTTGGAATGATAACTTCAGTGTTTCTGTTTCTAGATAGTTTACGATCTACTGTGTTATTAGATCATGTGTTGTTAGATGTTGATGAAAATTAAGAACGATTTTGTAAAAGTTATTTTGGAATCTGCTTATTGTATGAAATAAATGTGTATCAAATGACCATAATACACCCAATTGATGTATATCAAATGGTGACTAGATCTGCGAAACGTGCGTGCAGGGGAGTACTTCGACAGTTCAGACGACAAAGAAATTAACATCCCAGAAAACAATATTGAACTGTTAGGAACAACTATAACTATGAACATGTCGGAGGTATAAATTTAAGTTCGCCAACATAAATGTAAAAGATTATGCATATATCTGGGTAACCCTACAACCTTTTGGAAAGAGATTCGAAATATTAATTACGATACAATGAAAATCATGTGACACAGCGCAAAAATCATGCGACACAGCACAAGTTAACCTCAGCTCAGTCGCAGCTCTTTCCTATCAATTTTCAATTTATTTTTATTCTTATACAATGGCAGAGTGAAACATGTTGGCAAGATACATTCACAACTTTTTATGTAGAAGATGAAAGTCGTACGAATGAGAAATACTCCTGTTTTCAGGAAGATAAAAGTATATTTGCATGTGATACGTCCAGGCTTCCACAAACCTGGACATTTGCTTTAACATATTTTACCCGTGAATATCCGGGGTAGAAAAGGTCTTCAGCAACCCATGCTTGCTGTAAAAGTCGACTATGCTTGTCGTAAAAGGCGACTAACGGGATCGGGTGGTCAGGCTCGCTGACTTGGTTGATGCATGTCATCGATCCCAAATGCGTGGATCGATGCGCATGATATTAATCACTGGATTGTCTGGTCCAGACTCGATTATTTACAGACCGCCGTCATATAGCTGGAATATTGCTGAGTGCGGCGTAAAACAACAAATCAACCAACCAACCAACTTTAACATATTTCTTTAACATAAGTCCCGATGCATACATCCATATACACGTTTAACAATATTTGGTTTGGTTCAAAGAACAACCCCAGCCTACCTGTAAGTGACAGCAAAATGAAGACCAGTGCCTTCAGCAACATCATGGCTGCCGTCTCACGCAAACACCACCAGTCGACAAGGACAGATCCGATGTTTTCATGACAAGATAACGTCTGTATGACAACTTTAGAAAGTAAATACTTTGTAAAAATGTAACTCTTTTGTGTCTGTCTCGGTTCTGTCAATCTCGCGTTCGCAATTATCGATGTATTGTACACATACGTTACGTCTTGTCGAGTCGAAAGTGCATTTAAATACATGAAGACATCGTAAATTGCCTTAATGCTGAGGTGAAAGAAGTAATAGTTCCAGTCAGATAAACATATAAACTATTAAACTGGCATATATTGTGTGAGATGTTTGCATCTCCAAGAGACTACTGTCAACGTCGGTTATTATGTTTGGAGCTCATACCTGTTCGGCCTGCCATGCCCTGGTCTCATTGCAACCCCACCCGTTTGACGGTACATGTCGCACAGTCGGGAAATTATACGTTTTGACTTGACAAACATTCGGGCAACAAGGGATAATAAAAACTGTGTGTACGTGCAGAAAGAGCTGTTCATACATAAAGTGAAATTTCATTGAGATGACAGTGCCGTAGCCAGCCGGCTTTTTCATCCACCCGAAGGGAACCAGACAAGTAACGTTGCACACTCTAACATCTGAGTTTACCTATTGTTAAACTACTGCATGCTTTGATCACCCTGGCTACTCTCTCATGACAGAACTGCTCAGATCAGGAAAGGATAAAGTTGCCATCTCAAATCCGGCGATTTAAATTGATATTATCTTTATTTTGTGTTGTATTAAATAATACATTGTGTTTAAAGTGTTTTATGAAGTAAACTAAATAAATGTCATATTATAAATGTAGATTCTGACGTATTATTTAAATCTCAATGAAGTAAGCTAAACAGCCATAAATTATCACTAAAAATCACATCTAGTGAATGAATGAATGAAATATGTGTGTAAGTGTTGTTAATTTCTAGAATATTTTGTAAGCTTTTATAAATAGTGTGTGTAATGTATGGATCGATATATGATACTCACGAAGGGGGGCATGGGTGGCCTAGTCGTATAAGGCGCCGCGATTCGCTGTGCAGAGTGGCGTCCCTTGGAACGCCAGAAACTTATGATTGTAGGTTCGAATCCTGGTTCGCCCCAATTATGTTTCTAGGTTTTACAGCACTATACCCGTGCTCGTGGGTTTCACCGGAGTGGTAAACGTCTGAGACCTGCATCATTTTGGGCTTTCCTCCCACATTAAGCTGACATGCCGTGATATAACTGGAATACTGTTTAAAGCGGCGTGAACACCACTGATTTCCAGTGGCCCATTGATATAATTTTCACGGCTATTTTGCCTTTTACGCCCAATGGAATCTGTTTCGTGGGATAATCGACACTGGTTATTCTCCTACGTTATAAATGTATATGGTTTCTCTGTATGGCAACAGGGCGGTCGGGTAGCCAAGTGGTTAAAGCGTTGGCTCGTCACGCCGAAGACCCGGGTTCGATTCCCGACATGGGTACAATGTGTGAAGCCCATTTCTGGTGTCCCCCGCCGTGATATTGCTGGAATGTTGCTAAAAGCGGCGTAAAACCATACTCAATCAATTGTATGGCTACCACATTTAATTGCAAGCCTAAAGTTATTACACCGAAAACACGGTTATTGTTTTCCCAGACAGTTAAATCAGTTTCCGCACTAAGTGAGGATTTTAGCTGAGAATAACAATTGGAATTAAACCATGGTTGCTTTGTCATTTACCATGGTCTAACTGGATTGTTAGATAAACACCACTTGGTAATGACGGAACTTCTTCTTTCTTCTATCTTTTGTTTTGAACGTTTGTCGTCAGCGTGATCTGAACCAAAGAAGTCCGCACTGAAGGCTAACGAATGTAGTCTTCTGTCACGGCGACATGGGAGATAGGAGTGAAATTAACAACTAAATATTTACTTACATCAGTACCAATTGCTTATCCCTTTATGAATGGCGAAATGTGTTTTATGCAATTTTTATACAGTATTTTACTCTATGCATTCAGTATTTGTACAGAACTTGTAGCTTTTCGTTCAACGAAACGAACGGATGGAAAAGAAATTACTATTATCTTGATCAGGGCTATATTTGCTCATTACAGGCCCATCAACATGGGCAAGTAATATTCAGTTGATTGATAAATGTGCTTGAGTTGGTCCAAATTGATTGGTATACTTGCCCCGGGACATGCATTTCACAACCCAAATCGGCAAAGTGCGAGGTGCACGTGCAAAAGGCTCTTGAATACATTTCACGTGCTTCACGCAGCGCCGACTCACACAGTGTTCTCACAGTTGAGCATAGAGTTCCTCAATATCTTTCAAAATACCTTTAACAAAAACAATGTTTTTTGAGCATTTTAGGTGCCATAAATATTGGACATGGTTTAAGTATGTTAGACCACTCGGACCCCAAGGTCTAGTCGTTGAAATGGTTAGTTTCACCAGCCTTTTCAACGATAAGACACTGGGTCCTCGTGGTTTTACCTTTTCTCAGATGAGACGCGAGAATTCCGCCGATATTGAAGGAAACATGTCATAAAATCTGTTTGAATATGTTGGATGGTTGGATCTCATGATAAATGAAGGAAGAAAATTGCCCACTGAAAAATCGAAGTGGTTGTGCCCATTATGTCATTCTACTATAGAAAATGAAATTCATGTTACTTGTGTATGTCCTTATTATTGTGGTCAAAGACACATGTTAATAACAGAATGCTATCTGTCAAATTAACTTGTACCTGTAACAAATGTTATATTTTGGACAAGACTTTCTTAGTAAACTACAGATTCGCGAAATTGTTTGGGTTGAGTCCCGTCCGGGAATGGAACCCACACTGCACCTAATCGCCAGCACTATGGCAGGGTGGGTTCGAATCCCGGAGGTACTCAAAAAAGTATGAGAATATGTTCTTTACTAAGAAAGTGTTATCCCAAACTTAACATTTGTTACGTTTGACCACTTTCAAAATGGCATTGTGTGTTCATATACTGTACCTGCTTCTATGTCTCTTCTCTTCAAAAGATGCTGCTGTCATATTAAAACTGGGTATGTATGTTTAAAATGCTTTTTCTCTTGGAAGCCAATTGTTAAACATTAAGTTGCATCCGTAAGTGCAAAACCACGTATAAGTAACTTTTATGTATATGGGCCGGATGCTTGAAATGCAATATATATCTTGACTTTGACATATTCCAGTCTTATCACGGCAGAATCTAAGTATATATATTTCATTTTATATTTCACAAATCCTGTTTTGAATGTTCACGTTCTTGTCTTGTACCATCAAGAACTGATGTCTACGTTCAGAGATACAGTTGTCCCAGGTTATCAACTACGGAACTCCATACAAGCTTTCTGAAGTGAATCATGTCTTGAATCAAGTGAAAATTTTGCATGGTGGAGCTGATGGGCTCTACTATTACTGCTGCAACCGTGGACTGAACTTTCTCAGAGGTCTCCTTGATAAATTGAAGCAACATCACAGTGTTTGGTGGAAACGTCATCTAAATGATGCAAAGAAAGAAGAAGAATAGTGAATAGGTGCACTGTTCTCATATCATTGAAAGCTTTGGCGTTCTCTCAAGGGAGAACGTGGTTCTCATCTCCCGCAGTTAATCACGCCTTTTTCAAATGACACTTCTCCATTCCATGCATAATCGCCTGTCAGTTGTGGGGCCGGGGTTTCTGAATTAGAAAAGGTGTCCAGCAACACATGCTTGTCACCCGAGGTGACTAAATGCATAGGCCGTCAGGTTCGGCGACTTGGTTGATCGCTTGTCATCGTACTCGACGTTTCGTAATAACAATCACTGGTTTGTCTGGTCCAGAATATTTACTGGACGCCGTCATGTGGCTCTAATGTTTCTAAGTGCAGCGATAAGCAACAAACAATGGGCAGTAGAAAATTAACACTGACATGAAACATCTTTCCTTTAGTAATCTTCGCGAGTGCCCACTGGTCAATATCAACCCGTTGTCTTCAGTAGACTTTGATAAAACCTAGTGCACACTTTTGCCTCGGGAAGAAACCTATGGTATGATTTCGAGAGTAAAACTTCACTCGTTAAAATGAGTGAATGAATTTATGTCTTCTCCCGCGGTCATATATGGTGCAGCTATATAACGAGTGAATGTATTTACCCAAATTGGGTCCAGACACACAGCAATGCTGGAGCTGCGCTCAGTCGGGCCATTGTAACCGCCCGACAAGCAAATATTCAACATAGACGTTCGAACTCAAGGGATTGTCACGCATCAATAACACAAGTCCGGCAGAGGGCCCACAATGTTTATTTCGACAAACGCCTGTAGTGTATAAGGCGCAGAAAAAGTCTTAACTGAACTCAGCTGTCAGTTCTCTTTCGTCAATAAATGGAGGGATCTCTCACCCACTATCTTTCATCAGAAAATGTAAGAAACAACACGAAACATGATAAACACATTGAAGGGAGAGAATAATGAAGACTATATGTGGTTATGGTGGGTTGCTTGCATTATAATTACTACTAATTATTTGTCAACCGGTTTTAGCCTCGTACAGAGAACATGCTGGATGTTCTTAAACATATTATGCTGTGGGTACAAGAAAATGTTTTGGCGCCTTTCAGAAAATTGGGTTTGTCTTGCTGACAGAAAGAAATAATCTAAAAAAATCCCCACACCTCGCTTGATAACATTAACTGTAAAGAACGTTTAAAGGGAGGCTAGGCTCCGCGGTTTGGTGCCCGGTTCAAGCATGGATCCGAACACTGTAACCATGTGTCAAACTGGGACATTGATTCTGTGTTAATAGAGTAACCACTAGACTGATATACATTGTGACATTTAAGTTTACGAGCAACCAATATAGGTTTTGATTACTTGAATCAAACACGCTGCCACTGTCAACTGACCCGACCGATGTCCCCGTTTAGAGTTTTGTGTTGAGAGAACGAGTAATAAAACGTTCACATAAAGATGACATTTAGCCAGGAATTTGTTTGTGGGTGACATAGGCACCCTCAGAGTTGACATAGTAGA